TTTTTTATTTAATTGAACTCCAAAACCATAAAACTTATATATTTGATCAAGTTTTTTCTTATATCAATTTTCAGTCAGTCTGTTTTTTTTTTTCAGTGTGATGCTCCACCTTATTCTGTATTCTTCATCGATTTCTTCTCTGATCCACAGAGCCCACGGTCCCTCTGGATCCCATTTCCTCGTCCAACTCCTCCTCCCAGATTATTCTCAAGTGGAAGCCTCCAGCAAGTCCCAACGGCAACATTACCCACTATCGGGTCATCTGTCACAAGCAGGCGGAGGACAGCGACCTCTACAAGTTCGACTACTGTCTACAGGGTCAGTATCCAGAGGCTGCTTCGCTCACGTCCACCCGATGGGAGTTCAGCTGTGAAGGAAATCAGCTGCTGCACTGGTTTGATTCTCTGGATTTCTCTCATGCTTTGTTTTTTTTCCTTACCCAGGGATGAAGCTACCTTCACGGACTCCCACCCACCTGGACTACGAGGAAGAGCAGAAATGGAATCACACGGACGAGCCGCTGTCAGGTGGCAGGTGCTGTGCCTGCCCCAAGACGGACAGCCAGCTGAGGAAGGAACAGGTGGAGCTCGAGTACCGCAAGGCCTTTGAGAACTACCTCCACAACGAAGTGTTTCTGAGCAGGTACAGCTGTTTGGTCCCAGAAATGACAGTAAACTTTTGCACATCGGTTCATTTAAAGATATAGGGAGCATATTCATGTTTTAAAAATGATTTCTTCTTTGCCTTTTCTCAAGGCCGTCTCGTCGACGACGCTCGGTGGGTGTGGCCAACACCACTGAGCCCCCGTACTTCCTCACCACAGTCCCTAGTTTACTGTTTGACCCCGACAAATCCAGCTCTGAAGATGAAGACAAGGAAGAGGAAGGATCTAAGGTACGAGAACTGCTTCCGACAAAACCACGTTTGTGTTTAAGACACGTCAGGCCGTCGGACTGAACAGCAGTGAAACCTAAGAGTTGATGAAGAAAAACAGAACGTTAATAAACTTTAAACAGCATTTGTATAAAAAAATAATAATTAAAAAAATCAACATCTCTACTTCAGGTGGAGCTCAAGGTGTTTTCAAAGGAGTCGACAGTCATTTCCAACCTGCACCATTTCACCAGTTATAAGATAGAGATCATGGCCTGCAACCATCCCACGGACCTCAAACGCTGCAGCATTGCTGCTTTCGTCAGTGCCCGAACCATGCCCAAAGGTAGGAACAAATGCGTCTGTCACATGCACACTTTGTTTGCTTAAGTTCTGTCCTCGACTCTTTTCACTGCCTGACGGTTTCTGTAAACCCAACTTTAGTAAAAGGTCTTTAATATTTTCAGTTTTTCTTTGTTTTCTTCAACCCCACAGAGAAGGCAGATGACGTTCCAGGCCCTGTGACCCATGAGATAGTGTCCGCTGAGCCTCCGTACGTGTTGATTAAGTGGAATCCACCCTTGTCGCCCAACGGCCTCATCATTCTCTATGAAGTGTTTTACAGGAAAGTTGGAGACACAGAGGTCAGTACTGAGTCAGATGACAGATTTGTTTCTTTACGTTCTTATTTGTCGTTGTGTGCGTTCACATGCCGTTACTGTTCACTTACCGTTTCACTGCCTGACCCTCGGTGCCAGTGCAGGTCTGTTACCATAGAGACAGAGGCAGACTAGACAGAGACGATATGTCCACTGCACCACAACCACACTGGAAACACACACACACTACTCACTAAACGCCTCACATTTCAGGCAAAACACCAGAGAATCTTCTGCCTCTACTGCTGGAAGTTAACACCATTTTTTAAAATTATTTATTAGTCGTGCTTTTATAAAACTGACAACAGAGAAATCACTTTGAAAGTTTTGAAATTCCTCCAGACACGAGTGTCATCTCCTCTTCTTCTTCTCTCGTAGATTCACACAGCGTGTGTGTCACGACCAGCCTACCTCAAATCAGGTGGCACGAAGCTGCCACTCCTGCAGCCGGGGAACTACAGCGTCAGGGTCCGAGCGACGTCCTTGGCAGGAAACGGTTCTTATACAGAGACCACCTACTTCTTCATGCCCAACCGTAAGTCGGGGGGAGGGGACTGTAAAAGTTTGGTGAAAAAAAAAGGTTGTTTTTTCTTTTCTTTTTTTGTGTTACTTCTTAATTCTATTACACATTATTGCAACCCCTGAAATGACCAAGCGTCTGTTTGTGGTCAATGCAGCGGACCCCGGTCTGGTCTGGATCGTGATTGGCCCAGTCTTCTGCTTCATCCTGCTACTGTTTGTTGGAGGCGGAGTCTTCTGGATCTTGAAGAAGAAGTAAGATCTTTGCTCAGAACAGAGAACATTAAGTAGGAGTCGGGATAAAAACCGGAAAATAAAAATGCCGCTGTTTTTCTACAGACAAAGTGAAGGTCCGACCGGACCGCTCATCGCCTCCTCCAACCCTGAGTACATCAGCGCTAATGACGGTAAGATGACTCTCAGTAAACAACGACTGGTGTTTGTATGATTTGAAAAAGTGTGATGGTTGAGCATTCGCTGGAGTTTTATGTTTTTTTTCGTGAATGTTTCCCTGAATCAAAGCAGTAACAGGCGTCTGTTTCTGTAGTCTATGTTCCAGATGAATGGGAGGTTCCCAGGGAGAAGATTATGGTGATGAGAGAACTGGGTCAGGGCTCCTTTGGAATGGTGTATGAGGGAATCGCCAAGGACATTGTTAAAGGAGACCCGGACACTCGTGTAGCTGTCAAGACGGTGAATGAATCGGCCAGCCTGCGGGAGAGGATCGAGTTCCTCAACGAAGCCTCCGTGATGAAGGCCTTCAGTTGTCACCACGTGGTACGACACCATTTTCCTGCAGCCCTTTACAAAGATTTTTCCCTGACAGTTTTATGAGAAACCCCTCAGCAGCTCTGCGTGCACCTGTGACTTGTAAGATGTTGTAAGACTTCTGTGAGAAAATCGTAAGAATACGGATCAGTCTGCACCTCAGTCGTTAGTCTACAAATACAGAACACGATGCACAGGAAAAACTGCTGTTATCAGACAGCCCGGTCCTAACTGTGTGTGTTTCTTCCTGCAGGTTCGTCTCCTGGGAGTGGTTTCCAAAGGTCAGCCCACTCTCGTAGTAATGGAGCTCATGACCCACGGTGACCTGAAGAGCTACCTGCGGAGCCTCAGACCAGATTCCGAGGTGAGTGGCTGCGATAACCTCGGCTCACGGCGGCACAGTTATCGTCTCCCTTTATCTCTGTAAAGTAAATCTACCTTCTTTTTTTTTTTTTTTTGTAGAACAACCCGTCCGGCCGTTCACCCCCTACTCTGAAGGAGATGATCCAGATGGCTGCAGAAATTGCAGATGGCATGGCCTACCTCAACGCCAAGAAGTTTGTGCACAGAGATCTGGCTGCCAGGAACTGCATGGTGGCAGAGGACTACACTGTAAAGATCGGAGGTACTGTAGACCGACGTGGTTGGTCTGGGTGCTGACCGTTAGCTCCTTAAAGATCACAAACAGGACGACACAGATACGAAGTACAAATATGTATATTTTTTTTAGTGTTACAGCTTCCGTAACATTTGGAAAAACTACCTGTAAACTCGTCTTTAATTTTGGTTCCGAGACTGTAAACTCGTCTTTAATTTTGGTTCCTGACGGCAAAAAAAAAAAATTCCACATTAATGTTTACATCTACAGTTTACAATAATAGTGTTGTTTTTTTTAACTGCCACAGATTTTGGAATGACCAGAGATATCTATGAGACAGACTACTATCGTAAAGGTGGGAAGGGTCTGCTTCCTGTCAGGTGGATGGCTCCGGAATCCCTGAAGGACGGAGTCTTCACTGCCCATTCTGACTGCTGGTATGGACTGGACCGCTCGATCCCAACTTACCCATGGTGCATTTGGTGTCTTATTTCTCCACGTGTGTGTGTGTGTTTGCAGGTCTTTCGGTGTTGTCCTGTGGGAGATCACTACACTGGCAGAGCAGCCGTACCAAGGTTTATCCAATGAGCAGGTTCTGAAGTTTGTCATGGACGGAGGATACCTGGACCGACCTGAGAACTGTCCAGAGAGAATGTGAGTGGACACTGACGTCACTAAATAGTTTCAAATTCTGTATATCTGTTTTGTTTTTTTCTAACGTACATCAAACCCTTAGAAGAGAAACAGTTGAAATGTTTTTACTTTCCCTCCAAACATAACAATGTCGTCGAGTCACTTTTTTACTGCCCGACCTGCGCCAACGTGTTCAGGCAGGTAAAGTGGGTCAGACACCACCAGTGAAATATTTAAGGCCCAGATCTGACCCACATTCAACACAAATGACACTTAATTCATCCCACATATGGTGCCTGACTCTTTATCGCCCCCTCCTGGACAGATCTGGGCTCCAAACTGGGTTTTGAATCACTGCATATCAACCAAAAGTATATATTAGGGACGATCAAAGGATTGTAATTTTTAATCTGATTAATCCCAGGGTAGCTGTGCACTAAACACAACTAATTATGATTTTACTTAATTACAATTAATCACCATTAATCGTATAATGTTTACTTCTCCAACACAGGCACAACCTGATGCAAATGTGCTGGCAGTACAACCCCAAGATGCGGCCGTTGTTCCACGAGATCATCGAGATGCTGCGGGAGGACCTGCACCCGTCTTTCCAGGAGGTCTCCTTCTTTTACAGCGAGGAGAACAAAGTCCCGGAGACTGAGGAGTTTGACCTTGACCTGGAAAATATGGAGAGCATCCCTTTGGACCCTTCGTCGTACTCCCAGAGGGAGGAGAGCTTAGGCAGGGACAGCGGGCCCTCTGTGGCCCTGAGGGGGAACTACGAGGAGCACGGTCCCTACACACCCATGAACGGTGGAAAGAAAAACGGACGAATCTTATCGTTGCCGAGATCCAGCCCTTGCTAACGTTTCCTGTTCCCCGAATGAACTTCTCGAAGCGCCTCCGCTCCTCCTCCTTCCCTCCTGTTCCAGTCCGTGTTTTTCTCTCGCGTTCGTCTCATGCTCCTCACCTTTTTTTCCCCTAACAATTCTTATTTTTTGGAGAATCCTTTCAAGAAATATGATACCCAGATCTCAGGACTTTTTCTTTTTCTTTTTCATGGCTGCCACTCACAGGCCAAGGGATGCAAACACAGTGCAACACCTTTTAATCGTTCTCACCAACACGCCGGGCTGTCGGATTAACGTACCTGTTGTTTTTCGTGCTTTTCCCCGTTTCCAGGACTCGTCTGTTGTGATGGAAACGCAGAGAAAGACAAGAAACGAGAAAAACAAACTGTGAACTCCACAAACCTTAGACAACCAACATGGCTGCTTAAACTCCAACCTCCTCAAGACTCACCTGCTCGTTTCTCTCCCTCCCACGGAATCTGCTTTTTTTTTTTTTCCCACCCGTTCCTTTTCTTCCCAGTGAAATCCTTTTACTCAGATAGTGGCCTTCTGATATGTGGCCTGTAAACAAAGAGAAGTCTCTGTGACAAACACACTAATATCCTTCTGAACAATTCAGATTCAGTTTTTGGAACAGCGGGAAAAGAACGCGCAAAGACCTGATCCTAGAACAAAACATTTATTCCTAGAATGTTTTTCTGTTTCCTTGTCGTTTTTTTTTTTTTTTTTTTTTTTTGTCCTGTTTTGGTTCTGCAGAATTCCAAACTACACACAGATTCATCGGGTGTTTCGTGAATAATTTTAATTTATTTACTTTTACTGTTATTCTCTCTCTCTCTGATTTTTCTTTCTGATCTTTTTTTTAAATTTCTGTGTCTGGACTATTTGGCTGAAGGATATTTAAACAGTTAAGATTTGGACAAAAGAGTTCCTCAGACTGACCAATAGCTGCTGCTTTGATATATTTTAGTGGGTATATAAATCTCTAAATATATATATATATATACAATACATGTATATATATATATATATGTGTGTGTGTGTGTATAATATATATGGGATGTTGGTATTTCCATACCAATGTTTTATATATAATATATGACATACTGATGTTTTTGTAAATAGTTCTTATTATTGTATGATTTTTATTCTGTTAGTATTTTTGTTTCGACAGATGTTTTTCTTTTTCTTTTTCTTTTCTTTTCAACCCTTGACTACCGACAGTGCTCTCTGTGTCTTCGGCCTCCAGACACCAACCCTTCAAGCACTTTTTTCCCCCATTTGAATAGGAAAAAAGAAAAAGAAAAAAGAAAGCCACAAAATGTCAAGTCAGCCGTCGACTCACTGCTCATCTTTTCAAGGTATCGACCTCGTCCACGCCGAGGGATGTTGAAGCGACAGAGAAATCAGACTCACAAAAACAAAAAGGAACGGAAGTAGAAAAACCAAAAAAAAAAAAGACAAACAGAAACAAAAGCTTTAGGTCAAAGGGGAATAAGGTCTGACGTGTGTGTGTGTGTGTGACTGAGTGTGTGTGTGTGTCCCTGTCTGCTCCCGCTCCACTCTGATCTCACAGGTTTATTCGTTCACACCACCGGCCTCTTGTCAGCGTCGTCTCTGGTTCTAGTCCGACGGCCGGGGCGGAGCCTTTCGTGGATCGTTTGATCAGTTTGTCGTTGTGGTGCGTTTCACTCGACCTCCTCAGTTCTCACCTGGTGTCTCTGAACGATGTTGCTGGAAGCGTTGTGGTTAAACCCTCTCGCTCTCTCTGTCTCTGTCGTCGCCTGCTGTCAGGACGTTCTGTTTGTTCTCGACTCAGGTCTGACGTTCCTGAATTCAGCTGGAACCGCCGGTTCCCTCGTCTCCTCTGTTTCTCCCGTCTGACGACGAGGTTGGAACCTTCGCTGCGTTTCAGCACCTGTCGTAGAAAATCCTCGACTCGAGCTCAGTTGGCAGAGATTGTACTGAGTCAATACTTCATTCTGACTGAGGTGGCGCTAACTGTAACGTTTGTCAACACTGACATGGTTGGCTGGGTTTTTCAGTGCTTTTTTTTTTGTTTCTCCCCGACGTGTTCTCTGTCCACGCCCCACCCCCCACCCCCCGTCTGTTTATCTCCACCGTGGGCGACACTACTTCTCAGCAGATGTATTTTCTAAGAATCGTTCTGGTGTGGTTTATCTGGACTCACAGACCGGTGCGGTTGCCAATCGAGCCGAACAGCGTTCAGCACTTAATCAATAGCCAAAGTTTTGGCAGCTTTTTAATCAACAACAAGAACTGGAGTCGAGGGAGGGGAAAAAAAGAAAAGAAAAAAAAGCTGCCTCCGTATTTTACCAGTGCCTTCTTGAACACACAGCCACGTCTGGGCTACTGCTATTGGCTGATTAGAAACACACACACACACACACACACACACATAGACCTCTCTGATTGCTGTCTGTTAGTTCTCGGGGGGGTGGGGTTAAACACTGAAGTTAATCATTGGAGTTTGGGATTATTTGGTCGTCGTCCTGAGGAGATCCAGTCTTTTTTTTTTTCTCTTTTTTTTTACCTGTAAATAATCACTGACAGTAGATTTGGGAAATTGAAAAGAAAATGCAGAGAATCTGATGTTTTTGTGTTCACGTCGTTGAAATGATGGACCTTTGCCGTGTCACAGTTTTTTGTATTAGAAAAAAAAAGGAACTCAAACTCTAAAGTCAACAGTTGAGTGACTGGACACACTACATCCTCCACACCTGAAGTCGGGTGTCGCTCTTCTCTTCCGCTTATCTCGTGTTTGTCTTTTGCAAACATATGCAATTTCAGAATAAGATGGTGCCCATAACTTTAAAATACCAGATATTTATTTTATTACTGTCGTTCATCGTCGTCGTCGTCGTGGTGTAAGGAGACAGTTAACGTGTGAGTGGAGCGTTGACGAGGAGGTGTTTGAGAAGTGGAGCGGCGCAGGAGTTTGATATTGTACAGTAGGAGCAGCAGCAGTACTAGTTAGTTAGTTAGTTAGTTTAGTTAGTTTAGTAATGTAATTGTCATTGTCTTTGTGTTTGGCCAGAGTCTACCTCAGTGCATATGGATGAATCAGTCTCAAGAGCCGAAATCAACCCCGTCAGTCACTCAGTGTCCAAAAAAAGAAAAAAAAGAATCACCTTTGTCCTGGTGATGTCCGCTGTGGCTCAGCCTCTGTCCTGGTGATGTCCGCTGTGGCTCAGTGGAAAACCTGACAGTTTTTAACACCTAGTGCTGTTGTTCAAGGTCACGGAGGAGGTCATTGGAATGAAGAACAAAAAAAAAAAGGATTTTTCCTGTTGTTCATGAGCACAGACTGTTACTGTCACTATGGAGGTTCAATTTTCATCATTTGCTTCTGGCAAAAATATTGGTCAAAAAAAAAAGTTGTTTTTTACAGAACGTCACACGTCTGTACTGGTTCTACTGTTGTTCACCGTGACATTTATAAAAATCAGACTCTTCTCAGTCTGACTGTGCTCTGATTGGTCGACAACTCTCCCTTCTGGCCTTGAACAGAAAACACTAAGTTTTAAAAAACAAAAGTCAAACCTTTTCTGTGGTTTTTGTTGAATATTCCTCCCTGCTCATCACTTTTCTGAAGTATTACCGTGGACTTTTCTTTACCCTGAGTATTTACTACACGTGTAACGTCCGACACTAATTTGGCTTTAAGGACCGTGAATCTATCTGATATCGGCGTAGTCACGGGGGTCGTCTGTGGAGTCGGTGATGTAGCGTTACGTCGTTCCTCCCGACTGTACGTACAGCGGCGGCCGTGCTAACGTCCTGCACGTCGCGTCAGACGTCAGGCGTGGCGTTAGCCCGGACACAAACCTCGGACGTCGTACTGTATCTGTGACGCCGACGTCGTCTACACTACACTCTGTGGGCGTGCCCCCCCTGGTGGTCAGAAACAGCGTTCCAGTCCCACCTGTCCTCCACTCGATTCGCCTGTCTCTTTAAAATGTTCAGATATTTTTTGTATGTATATTTTTTCTACTGTGAATATCAAAGAGATGACCTATATTTTCTGTCAATGCCATGGATTTGGGGTCTGTTGTGGCTGACCGGGGAGGCTGACATCTGGGCTTGTTGAGTTTTAAAGGAAAAAAAAAAGAGAATAAAAAAAAAAACAAACAAACAAAAAAAAAAGCTGGACTGGGACAATCCTGTGTGCCATAAGAACTTTTAACAGACATGAAATCTAGATTGTAACTTTTCGTCTCAGGGAGGCGGCCTGATGCTTTGTGGTTGGAGGATAACGAGGATGAGGAGGACGAGGAAGAAGGAGAGCTCGGACTTTTTCTCTTTTTTTTTCACTCTCTTTTTTTTTTGTTTTGTTACAACAACAAAACCCCAAACACACTATTTTGTAAATTTTTGTCCTCACTGCCCCTTAAAGATGATCTGAAATCCTCCTCGTTCTCTGATGTGAAGCGGTTTGGACTGCCCTCTAGTGGTCGAATGGGAGAAGTGCAGGTCAAGGGTGGTAAAGCAAAGAGGGCCTTCCTTACGACCCATAGTGCCTTGCTCTGACTAACAGCCGACCTGACCCCTCCCACTTCCCAGTCCACGCCCGCCCAGCACTGGTGTGTCTCCATCCACCAATCACTGAAGAGGACTCATTCACCTCCACACACACGAAAAGAAATCTCTTCAGTTATGGATTTTATGGAATTTTTTTTTTTTTTAATTTCCAATATTTTCATTCTTTTCTAACCTAAACAAAGTCAAGCAGTAAAATGTTAATAAATAAGTAATAAAAAATATAGCAAAACATGAACTAAAAGACATCGCCGGTAGCTGTGTTTACCTAGAGGAGATCGAACACAGCATTGTGTTCCTCACTCTGATTGGCTCATCCATCGTAGCATCTCTAAGCAGCTCCCCTTGTCTGTCCGCCACTTGTTCACTTTACTCTGCGCTGCTATACGTATAGGACGTTGCCGTAAAGGTTGTGCTCTTGTGTTTAGCGTTCCAGTCCCGCCTGTCCTCCACTCGATTCGCCTGTCTCTTTAAAATGTTCAGATATTTTTTGTATGTATATTTTTTCTACTGTGAATATCAAAGAGATGACCTATATTTTCTGTCAATGCCATGGATTTGGGGTCTGTTGTGGCTGACCGGGGACGCTGACATCTGGGCTTGTTGAGTTTTAAAGGAAAAAAAAAAAGAGAATTAAAAAAAAACAAACAAACGAAAAAAAAAGCTGGACTGGGACAATCCTGTGTGCCATAAGAACTTTTAACAGACATGAAATCTAGATTGTAACTTTTCGTCTCAGGGAGGCGGCCTGATGCTTTGTGGTTGGAGGATAACGAGGATGAGGAGGACGAGGAAGAAGGAGAGCTCGGACTTTTTCTCTTTTTTTTTCACTCTCTTTTTTTTGTTTTGTTACAACAACATTACCCCAAACACACTATTTTGTAAATTTTTGTCCTCACTGCCCCTTAAAGATGATCTGAAATCCTCCTCGTTCTCTGATGTGAAGCGGTTTGGACTGCCCTCTAGTGGTCGAATGGGAGAAGTGCAGGTCAAGGGTGGTAAAGCAAAGAGGGCCTTCCTTACGACCCATAGTGCCTTGCTCTGACTAACAGCCGACCTGACCCCTCCCACTTCCCAGTCCACGCCCGCCCAGCACTGGTGTGTCTCCATCCACCAATCACTGAAGAGGACTCATTCACCTCCACACACACGAAAAGAAATCTCTTCAGTTATGGATTTTATGGAATTTTTTTTTTTTTTGAGAAAACTACAAATGTTTTTCCTGCTTTGTGAAAGAAAAGGTGTAATCTGTAAACCACGTGACTGATCGTTTTAAACCAAAATAGAGAAGAAAAAAAAAAAGGAATCGATGAACTCGTGTCCAAAACTGCCGCTCTCTTCGTGCATGAGAAATGAATTCTTCATCGCAAAGGAATCACCTGGTAATTTGATGTTTACTGATCTTTTTTTTTTTTGTGCTTCTTGTCTGTCTCTTTTTTACAGCTATGCTCCGAAGCACACGCAATAACCCGACAAAATTTGAAATGCAATCCACTCGTTCCAGATATTTCAGAACGGGGGTAAAAAAAAAAAAAAAATGAACTGAATCATAAGCTCTTAACTGTAAATATCACCGTCAGACCTTCTTGGCTCTTGAAAATAAAATGAAAAGCACTTGATTTTAAGAGAGTGGAGGTTTGATTTGTTGAACTCTGATGCCCTAAAAAAAAGACAAAGTGGTTGGACAGAGCATGCTCGTACCGCAGGGTGAGAACAAAGCATTGTATGTATTAATTTTGTTTTTAAGAAAAAGAAAAAAGTATTACGTTTTAGAGATTTTTGATTTCTGTTTTTTTTTTTTTTTAGCCAACATAGGGAGGAAAAAATACCGTGACCTTTATTTCGTTTCTGACTGTAAACTTTTACTACTCTTGTACATTATGGATTTACCATTGTTATCAGTGTGTATATAACTTTTTTTCTAAATCTCAAACGTAAGATGTTTTGGCTTCCTCTTTGTTTCGTTTTGGTTTCTCTTTTTTTTTTTTTTTGTTCTGTTCATGACACCACCCACTACACAGAGAAGAGCAGAGTCCAAATCTGTCTCCAGTCCCACGGCTTCGGCCCGGTTTTGAACCCGACTCTTAATCTGACACGTGTTTCTGAATGTCAGCCCAGAAGTGGGTCCTGCATTTACCCAGAAAGCTTTCTGCTGTCCCAAAAAAAAAAAAAGTCAAACCACGGCCTGTTGCAAATGTTGCTGTATGGAACTGTTTCTGACGAGAAAAATGTTTGTGTTCATTTGATTTTTTTTGTATGTGAAAAACTGGAAAAGACCACTGCACTTCCTTCCCGAAGAGAGAACACGCGTGAGAAAAAAAACCCCAAAATAAGCTATAAAAAAACCTTTGGACCGTAGAGCTGCAGGAGTTTGACACTCACGTCTTTGTCAGGAGGATCACG